AGACAGAATCTCACTTTGTCCCCCTTGGTAGAGTGCTGAGGCATCACAGCTCACGGCAACCTCCAATTCCTGGTCCTCCTGCCTTAGCCTCTGGAATAGCTGGGACCACAGGCGCCTGCCACATTGCCTGGCCATTTTTTGTTGCAGTTTGGCCAGGGCTGGGTTTGAACTCACCACCCTCAGTATATGGGGCTGGCGCCCTACCCACTGAGCCACCCACCTGGCTATTTTTTGGTTGCAGTTGTCATTGTTTAGCAGGCCCAGGCTGGGCTTGAACCCACCAGCTTTGGTGTATGTGGCTGGCACCCTACTCACTGAGCTTCAGGCCTGATCCCAATAACCAGTTCTGAAAGAAGCATTATTATTGTCATAACTTTACAAAGGAAGCAATGGACTATGAAAGATTAAGTGACTTACCCGGGGCCATGCACATCTGCAACTTAATCATTGTGTGACCAGGGAAAGGTCACTTGCCCATTCTGAATTTTTCTTTTTTCTTTTTCTTTCCTTTTTTTTTAAATATAAGGACCATAATCATTGCCCTACTTGTCTCACAAGGTTGTTTTGAAGATTAAATGACAATAGAGGTGAAAATACCTCTTTACTATAAAATTTATTTAAGAATGTAAGATGAGGGTGGAGCCTGTGGCTCAGTGAGTAGGGCGCTGGCCCCATGTACAGAGGGTGGTGCGTTTGAACCTGACCCTGGCCAAACTGCAAACAAACAAACAAACAAACAAAAAATAGCCAGGCATTGTGACTGGCACCTGTAGTCCCAGCTACTCAGGAGGCTGAGGCAAGAGAATCACCTAAGCCCAACAACTGGAGGTTGCTGTGAGCTATGATGCCACAGCACTCTACCGAGGGCAACAAAGAGAGACTCTGTCTCAAAAAAAAAAAAAAAAAAACAAAAAAAAAACTAGCTAGGTGCTGTGGCTGGAACCTGTAGTCCCAGCTACTTGGGAGGCTGAGGCAAGAATAAGGCTGAGGCAGCAATAAGTTATATACAATGTAAGTTGTATACTCCTTCCTACTGCCATTTATTTCAGAGCCTGCATACAGTGAGATCTGGAGTATATGCAAGAATGCTTAAGTAAAGCTATGTAAGCTCAATTGAGATAAAGTCTTCCACTCTGAAAACAAAGGAACTATATTAGTAAATATTTTTGGAATGAGAGTATTTTACAACATTCCCCTGTCTACATTGCTTGGGAACACTTTGGGATAAAACAAGACAGTCTACAGAATAATAAATCACCAGTATTAGGCAAAGGGGTTGACTTGTTTGTGTATCATGCATCTTACATTAATCCTCAGATTTCTGAATTCCTGCTCATTCTCTTTCCCAAAACCAATATACTTGAAGAAGCGTGTTGATTTGAAAATAAACTTGTTATCATTCAGTGGTAAACATTCATGCCAAACTTAGATACCCAAGATAAGTTATCTTTTCTTTTCTTTTTTCTTTTTAGTTTTTGGTTGTTTTGTTTGTTTGTTTTGTTTCTTTTTTTCTTTCTTT